CATTTTATATTTTTCTTTATGGTTATAAATATAATAATGGCAACACTAAATATAGATTACTAATTAATATTTTAAAATTGTAATAATTATAAAAATAATAGCAAAATTAAATAAATAATTTTCCATATTCAATTATAATTAAAATTATAAAAATGTTTAAAGTTAAAATATTGTAATGTAATTGGTGCAATTTTCATTTTGTTAATTGTGGGTAGGCTGTCTGTAACAACTATACATTCAAGACATGTAACACCTCAGTCTCTCCCGTGACCATGGATGCTGTAAAGCATTCGAAACGTCGGGAAATTAAAATCCAAATAAATCCGCGACAAAATCCGAAAAGATAGTTTTATTTAAAATACTTATTTTTAGTTAAAAAAAAACAAATTAACTAAACAAAAATATAAAACAAGCTAAAACTTAAAATTTGTATGCTTTTACGTATATTTTGCATACGTTTTAAAATATTTCTCAGATTTATAATGTTACTTTATAAGTAAATGTAACCCAGGATTTTAAATGAAAATAATATTAAAAAAAAATTCTCTTCTCTCACATCACGTTCGTATTTTATGAATGACTGAATATAATTTTGTTGCAGTTCTATGAATTCTATGAATCGATGTATTTGATCCTTGATCTTAGGCCACTTTTCCCGGCACATTAAGTGGTACCTTCTTTTGTAAAACACACACTAAACACTAGCTCGTACCTACATATAATAATAATATATTAACCTAATTCAAAAATAAAGCATTCATATCAAGCATTAAATACAAGAATGGCCGATAAGCACGCAAGTAGAAAGGTGACATTGACATTGGCTTTGAGTTGACTTCCTAACCCTGAGTAATAGTGAGTTTTAAAAAGCTCGTTGAATATTCAAGCACGCCAGAATTTAATATTTATTAAGCTATAGACTACAGATTTTTAAAAAGTTATCTACTTTGTTTTATATGAATTAAGAATCTATGGGACTCTACTTTTGCCTTTTTAAACTCTCTCTCTGTAATATTTTATTGATATTAAAATATTCAAGAAATATTAAAAATCAAAGAAGTAAATGTGTATACGATGATAATAATCAGCTAGTGCTCTATCAATTATTTATTCCATTTGCTGTAGAAACCCTTGGCCCATGGAGTCAAAGTGCTACGCTCTTCTTAAAAGACAATACTTCGTCTTATCACCTCTACTGGTGACAGGAGGGCTGGCACATTTTTCGCCCAAAGAATCGGCATTGCCATTCAACGGGGGAATGCGGCTAGCATTCTTGCCACTATTCTACGCGTACATAACTTGTACAGTAATCACTAAGTGTACATTTGTATTCTATACTAGCATTGCCTGCGGCTCCGCCCGCGTTCAGATGACCAAAAACCAAATTCTTAGGTTTTATATATAAATATACTCTTACATTGCAGTTTTTGTATTTTTTCGGTAAAAAATATTCTATATGTTGACCCGGATAACCAGCTATCACCATACCAAATTTCATCAAAATCCTTTCAGTGGTTTTTCTGTGATGCGGTAACAGACAGACAGACAGACAAAAATTCTAAAAACTATAGATACGGCCTCTGTATTGATAATAATGTTTCTTTCAATAAGATTTTCCAAAAAATATTTAATGTATAGATTCGACTCAGTTAGAATTTTATTATATGTATAGATATAATTAAGTATATTTGTAATTTTCTTAATGTAAATACTAGTGCTCTACTATGATAGCATGTTTATTTATCAATTAAAGAAGACATACACACTTTTAATTTGCCGCCTTCGTATGAAGGTCTGATACACAATCAGCGATTATTTCCCACGCTGCGTGAGTCAACTGCCAGAGCAAGGTTCCCGCTTGAGTAACGATACGTGCTAACGATGCAAAGTGCAAACTACCCGCAAATAATCATAAGGGCTTTATGTTTTGGGTTAGAAATTAGAAACAATGTCATTTCCATTCGCAGTCAATTGATACGATATTGAAAGCTAACTATTTATATCTTTAGCTATTCATTTCTGTACTGTCATTAAACAATTATATGAGTACTAGCATTGCCCGCGGCTCCGCCCGCGTTTAGATGACCAAAAACCAAATTCTTAGGTTTTACATATTAATATTCTTAAATTTGCAGTTTTTGTATTTTTTCTCAGAAATAAGACATTTTCCCGTGGTAAAAAATGTCCTATATGTTGACCCAGACAACCAGCTATCATCATACCAAATTTCATCAAAATCCCTCCGGCGGTTTTTCTGTGATGCGGTAACAGATAGACAGACAAAAATTCTAAAAACTATAGATTCGGCATCTGTATCGATAACTATGTCTATTTCAATAAGATTTTCCAAAAATATTTAATGTACAGATTCGGCTTATTTACAATTTTGATATATGTATAGATAACGATTGATAAGGTATTGAAAAAATAAATTTGTATTGTGTAAACATAAAGAATAGATTTTCGAATCCTGAATGCGATAAATATGTTTATTAAAGTACATATATTAAGTTAATAAAGATAATAAGCCATACAATATAAGATTGATTAATAAAAATAACCTACCATCAATAGTTATTATTATATTTAACGGGTCAATAACTTCGCCTAGTCTTCCTGATAGCAATCATCAATTAATTTTTACAATGCTGTTTTTATTGTATTACATGATTGATATAAGGAGGTAGTCTGAAGCTCATTCTTATTTCTTAGTATACTATTATACCTACTAACTAAAACAATGTTTAAAAAATTTAAGTACAAATTTTTACTAGCTATGTAACTTATAAGTCTAAGCAACTCATAGTTTTATTATCTCATTAATATTATAAATGTGAAAGTTTAGTTGTTTGGATGTTTGTTACTCAATTACGCCAGAACGGCTGAATGGATCGGGATGAAATTTGGCATAGAGATAGATTATAGTCTGGAATAGCATAAAGGCTTTTTATCCCGGGATAGTGTACGGTTTCCATGGGAAAGATTTGTTTTTGTTTTTAATATATATATGTATGTACTTATCTTCTATGATAACCTTTTACTTGGGGCACCAATAAAGGTATCAAAATATTTTATAAGGCTTTTAAATTTGAATATGTTGGTACAATATTTTTTTCACAACGTTATGCTTGTAATAAAATATTTATCTTACGTGTATAACGAAGGATTCGTAAGCATTTTATAGATAAGCAGACACTCAAATATCAACATTTAAATACTCTACGAGACCATTTAAACCTAGAGAAGTAATATTTAAATTCATAATGAGCATAATTTTTTAAATTTTATTACTGTTTTTTATATTTTTTTAAAGATAATAATGCTTTCCCTTTTTGTTAATAATGCTATTCATAATTTGAAAACTTTTTTTTTCTTTATTTTCGACAATTGGAACCTATAACATCGTTTTGAATTAGTTTTTTAGTAAAAAGATAATAACAAATAACAATGGTTGAAAACCATTATCATATTTCTTTATGATATATTATTATATTAACGAAATTGCACATATATAGATAGATACTTTTAACGAGAGCAAGTCGTATACTATGTTTAAATCATTACCACGGCTGTTAAGTACAGTTACACCTTGACCAGTGTCTCGTGATATTTTATTTATTGGCGGCAGGTACTTGACCGTTCAAATTTAAAGCCGGTCAATCGAGATTCGTTTGTTAGTTATTTATGTAAATGCAACAAGAGGGGACAACCGGATATACCGGGTTCATTCGTAGACGAGAACCGTTAGAAATTCAAGCTGTAATTTTAGTCAATCTACCTCACCTTGAATCGATGCATGACTACATTCCATTGAGTGAAAAGCGATCCTTTGATTTTGTATTATTTAAAAAAATAAAGATGGTAACAATTTGTGTTTTAAGAAATATTGTTTGTTCGTTAAGCATTATGAATATAATTTTACGAAATAGTTATAGCTTTGTTATATTTTTAGAGTACTTTATACAAAAGGCCTTCTATAAACATTTTCAATAGCAAAACAATAATAATATTACAAATATACCTACGTTTCCACTTATTTCTAAAGAAATAAGTGGAAACGAGACACAGAGATGTCACATAAGACCACACCCAAAAACACGGATGACTTGATGTTTATTGTCAATTGTATTAAAAAAGTACGACACATTTCTGTCTTTATTCCTGACATGCAATCTCAATTCTGGTAAAATACTCACTGGAATTTTCAAGATACAACTTAAAAATGCCATATTATAATCACAAAAACAATGCTTTATTGTATTGTTCAAACAGGGTATAACGCTCAAGAATTTTCTTGACAGAACGAACCTTAAAGGACGTCGAAGTATTAAATTCATACTTCGTACAAGCATCGGTGGGCAATGGATAACAAGACGCATTTTAATGGATTCAAACCGGTACCCTTCTATAATAAATTGCTTTCTGTATTCTTTCCTTCTCATCGATAAATTTATAAACATACACGGTACATATATAAATACGTAAAGATAGTTAGGGATATTTTAAGTTAAATTTTCTGAATGACGAAAAACCAAATTCTTAGGTTTTACATATTAGTTATTAATTTACTCTTACATGCAGTTTTTGTATTTTTTCTCAGAAATGAGATATTTTCCCGCGGTAAAAAGTATTCTATATGTTGACCCGAATAACCAGCTATCATTACACTAAATTTTATCAAAATCCCTTCAGCGGTTTTTACGTGATGCGGTAACAGACCGACAAAAATTCTAAAAACTATAGATTTAGCCTCTGTATCAATAATAATGTCTATTTCAATAAGATTTTCCAAAAAATATTTAATGTACAGATTCGGCTTAGTTAAAATTTTATTATATGTATGTATAGATTATGCCTATTCGACAATTTAAATTGAAACGTTATATAACCTAGTGAGCTATAAAAAATTATAAAGATTTTCTTTTGTTCCAGCTCAAGATACTATGTGACGAATAAAACTTTAAAGTTGAAAAAACCGAGGTGATGGACTAGCTTTAGCCATGCACACCATGGATACTTTGGGCTACGGCCACAAGAAATATCGGCCGCCTCTCTCTCCGTCTAACTTCTACCAACATGATTATTACTCCAGGCACGCTACTCTCCGCCCACAGGTATGTACAATTTTATTTATAAATATCCAATTTTAGTGCCATTTGCCGATAGGATATGTATAATATTTTATGTACGTAAAAAATAATGTCCATCTAGCCTATCTCTCTTCAGTCTTCATCCATGTAAGTAATAAAAAGCTTAACATGTTATACATGCTATAAATAGCAGCGTCTTAAAATTAAATTTTATTTAAAAAATAAATATAACTTAACAAATTAACTTACTACAAATAAATTGAAAACAAAAAAATCTAAATACTTGATTATAAAATATATATATTTTTTTACAAACGTTTCAAAGTTTATCGCCATAGCTCAAAGAGCTTATTGAATAATAATCTTACATCTTCTTTTGTACTCCTAACTTAGCAAAGTTCATGGTTTTTCATAAGATGGTACAAATAGATAAACATGGAGCTTAGGGCCTCTGGGACAGTGCCGTTAGACAAAACGGTATCCAACAATGATCGTCAAAGTGAATAAAGACGTCAGTTGATGATTCTGTTACACAAAAGAAAGTAAAAATACAATATTTAGTGATAAGTCTCATTCGGAATTATAACTAAATACCACTAATAACTAACTTTTAACATTGTTTAGTACATTGTGGCACATTCCTGTTTTTACAAACTATAAGTATACCTACAACGAAATATCGAAAACTTCTTTGAAATATTATTTAAAAACTATCTCTATTCTATTTTATCAACATATCATTTATATTCCACAAATTATTTTCAAAATGACCGATATTCTAAATAATATTCAAGGTATCATTATTAGCTCATTTAAGAAATAAATGACATTGTTTAAGTTAGATTAATAACCTATTATAAAATAAGCAAAATATAATAAACATTACTCATAGTAATTTCCTGTTATTATACACTATTACATATGTAAACTATTAAGATTATTTTTTCGTTAATAAATTTTCATTCTTATATTTATAAATTATAAGGTCAGCCATATCGGAATCGAGTTTTCGTCTGTATCCGGCGATAAAACTCTGTGACATTTGATAACTGTCACTGTCATTCTACCGTTATGGACTCGTTTCCACACCATTAATGTTCCTCTACATTCTTTCATAATACGCAGTTTTATGACATAAACAACCGTTTTTCTTAATATTTATTTTCTTAATATTTATAACCGATGGAAAATAATGTTGATTTGTGTTTATTTGTAATTTTTTATTTCTTATTAAATAAATTTCTTTATGTAAATTGATCTATATTATCAATTGATTATGCAAACACTATAGTAGAAAAAGTTCTTCTGCTCCACTGATCTAAATCGCCTCTTATAATAAAATATTACAGAGAAGAGTAACGGTACGTAGAGTAAATAAAAAATATAATATATAATCGACACTTGTTCAAACTTATTATGTATAGTCCTTATAAGCAAATTAAAAATAAACATTTAAAAGAATATTAAAAATACAAAAAGTCTAATTTTCCTTCATTGGAAGATACTAAAAAATTATGTATCTAACTAGCTTTGCCCGCGGCTCCGCCCGCGTCCAGATGACCAAAAACCTAATTCTTAGGTTTTACATATTAGTATACTCTTACAATGCAGTTTTTGTGTTTTTGTATTTTTTCTCAGAAATGAGATATTTTCCCGCGGTAAAAAGTATCCTATATGTTGACCCGGATAACCAGCTACCATCATACCAAATTTCATCAAAATCTGTCCAGTAGTTTTCTCGTGATGCGGTAACAGACAGACAAACAGACAGACAGACAAAAATTCTAAAAACTATAGATTCGGACTCTGTATCGATAATAATGTCTATTTCAATTAGATTTCCCAAAAAATATTTAATCTACAGATTTGACTTAGTTAGAATTTTATTATATGTATAGATTAGAATATAAAAAATAACTCTACAACAGCTTTACATTACACAGAAAAGTTGTTTATATGCATTAAATGATTAAAATGTTAACAAGAGGTATATTAAAATAATGTTTTTAAAGAAGAATTTTAGTTTCCTTATTTTAATTCGCTATAGTGTTTATTACAAATTCGTGAATTAAATTAATTCTTAGCCGGTAGTTGAGACAATGGATGTTCAACAAAACAAAGATGTTCGATAATAATAAATGGTTATAGAGAGAGAATTATAATTGCATATAAAAATAAATAATACCGCTATAAAATAATTAAAATCATAGACCGAGACAAAGTGCACGTTTATTATGCGAAGTAAGCAGAGCAATGATATAATGTAAGATGAGAGGCGTCGAGTACACGCAAGCATTACGCGGCACGCGACCGCACATGAGGCCCTCAAGTCCGTACCTAAAAACTCAGGAAGCCTACCTCGTGCCCGTGATGCTGATAATGAATAAATCATTTTTATACTTCCGCATGTTTTTTTTTATTCAACCACCTATACGTTCAGTAGTATTTGTGAATGTATGATGTAATCACTAGCATGCGACGGACCATAAAGGCAGTAGCACCATACTTTTAATTAATTGCAATTATAATACAATTAAATTATAATCAATTAGTAATGATTATTCATAGAAATATGCAATATAAGTTACGATATAACGGTAAATTGAACTATATGTTGTGTTATATATGTGTTTATAACTATTGTCACTGGTATTCTGCAGAAATATGTTAAAAATGGTAAAAATAGATTAGAAAAGTAGTGTTAGTTTGACCGATGGCAATTAAATAAACCGGGGTTAATGGTCAAATAACGGTTTACGTAAACAACTTCGCTCTGACGACTTAATCTTACTTTAAGAAACGGCTTCTTTATACCATTCACATTGTATTTATGCATTCTGTCTAACCAAATAAGACTGATAATAATTATACATTAGTGTTGTCGATACATATTTTTTTCGTCACATGTTTTATAATTTTAAATAAGTAAATCAGTTGTAATACTTTGCACCAAATATAAATTAATCTCAAGAAAATATACCTTTAGATACACGTAAAAATATAGAGATTTTTTTGTACATTACTTTTTTTGTACTCACAAGTCATAGTTGTCTTTCAGTGTCTTTAATTTTTTATATATAACTGTTATTAAGAAGTCATGTCATTAACAATAATTTACTCGTTGATCATCATAATACGTCGTGCTTGTGTGGGAATATTTATATTGAGCAAACAATATAACATAAAATTCATTAAATTGGTTTTAATAGTGATTCCACAAGATCGTTGTTGCCCCAGCTACATTTAATTGAGTTTCTGTAAAGTAACTATGTGAAAATTAAAATATAAAACATAACAAAATGGCTACACTGAACATTTTATTCTGTGACAAATGTTTTGAATAAAACCTCTTTAACTTTTAGACACAGATATGCCTTTATGATAAAATATGTAACCTGGATTCGACTTACTTTACGATAACTAAATAGTGAAACTATGCAAAATAATTTCGGGAAACAATATTTTTTTCTTTGAAGATAATTGACAAAGCATTTGATATAAGCGCGCAACAATATATATAAACAAACAGCCATAGATATTCGTAATAACAGTTGAAGTATAAAATTTAAAAGATAATGTCTATTATTTAATTTATATAATAAAATATACAAGCATTTTTTTCTTCCGAGATTATTCGATGTTAAAATATTTTCCAGCTAAAACTGACAATTAATTATAGATTAAAAAAGCATTCTGTTGTCTTATTGTGATCGTAATGTAGAGTTACGTGTCGATGTGGTTTGCCTTGCACTTGTAGTTAGTTCAGTTTAATAACCGGCGGAGGCAGATCTGCTTTTTATTACAAGCAAATTGTATAAGGTCTAAAGTAAGCGTCAATAATATTACACCTTTTTACATATATTTTTTTAAACATTTTTTAAATCTATATATATAATAAAATTGTAACTAAGTCGAATCTGTAAATTAAATATTTTTTGGAAAATCTAATTGAAACAGACATTACTATCGATACAGAGTCCGAATCTATAGTTTTTAGAAATTTTGTCTGTCTGTCTGTTTGTCTGTCTGTTACCGCATCACGAGAAAACCAAGAGAAAAAAAAAAAAAAATTTGGTATGATGGTAGCTGGTTATCCGGGTCAACATATAGGATACTTTTTACCGCGGGAATATATCTCATTTTTGAGAAAAAAATAGAAAAACTGTATAAGTAAGAGTATACTAATATGTAAAACCTAAGAATTTGGTTTTTGGTTATATGAACGCGAGCGGAGCCGCGGGCAATGCTAGTACATAATATATTCAATGGTCTTTTCTAGGACTGGCTAGCGGAGTTTAAGCACCGTACATATGTATGTATGTAAATTTTAACGGTATTCTTATTTACATTACTAGTATGGTATAAGTTCTTTATAATATATTTTGGTGGTGAATGAAGGATTTTCATTATAGAAGCTATTGTTTAGCTGGACTGCATTTATAATTACACTTTTACTAATACTTATGAGACACAGCCTCAGAGTAAGATGTTGAAAAAAAAGTTCTAATATATTTAACATCGTTTTAATAATAATTATTAATTATGTTGAGATACGGACAGACAGGTAAACAAAAAACACACTTTTCTTTTAAGTTATTATTATGCAAACTTAGTATTCGTTACTTTTCATAATAGAGATAAAAAGAAATATTAGTCATGTTTCAAGTTTGCTTTGAATGTCTGAACTCAGGAGCATCTTCAGAGCAACAACCAGATGCAGCAAAGCCGGTTCAGACTGCAAGCAGTTGCTTACTAGATACTATCTTCTAAAAATATGCTTGGATATACCATCCACATATAAATGTATATAGTGGTCTAATTTTAATTTCTTTATACCAGTATGGCTAATTAAAAAAACCTATTATAATAATTTAGTTTACCTTATACCTAATAATAAATTACAAATAAAAAACCTGAGATCCTAACTTCATCGCTTCTACTTCAATTCCTTTTAAATGTTACATTTCAGACCATATTCATCTTAAAATTTGTTTAAAGTTTTTTATACTATACAGTAATATACC